TATTGGTTAAGTATAGAGAAATTCTAAAGTTCTGTAATTCCATACGCTCTATTAGAAGCACATCTCACTAGAGACACTTAAAATTAAATTTTTTATTCTCGGCTGAGATAACTCCGTTGTTAGCAATCATGAATGCACATTTCAATTGGAGAATTGAAGCTATCATCATGAAATGAATGATAGCTTTAGAGAGGTCCACCTGAGGTACCAATATGTATACAAGTAATATCAAATCAATCAGACTTGCGGTTTTCAACAAGTCAAAAATAACACTTTTACCCAAAATGACAAAAATATTCATCTAAATTAGAGAATTAAAGATATCATACGAAAATGAAAAAAATTCTATCTGTACATATACAACAAGTATCAAAGCAATCAGGCTTGTAGTTTTCAAGAAGAAGTCGAAAAAATAAAAACTTTAAGCAGGAGGACAATAAGTTCTGCTCGACAAAGTCGGCAGCGAAGCAAAAAAAAAAGCTTTGACACACATTTTTGACTGATGAGCACAATATCTAGAAACATGAATATTTTTTTTTATTCTGGGCCTTTAGCTAAACTTGTAAACAAGATTTTATGAAAGCACATGGTGCTTTGAAACATAGCTAATACTTTACAGTCTAGTGAATCCAAATATGAATTATTCTAAAGACTACAGACAGTAGTAATTTACCATACGATTCCAAAATAGAAATACCACACTTATTTATATATTATGCAGAAATTCATTCAAGTAGAAGGGACTGATAAGATTTCAGCAATCTCATTGCATAATAGATAAGCATTTACTAACACGATTGAGTCAACATTTTTAACTATTTTATATATTTTCCTTCAATTTTTTTGTTAATTTTGGACCAAGCCAACTAAACATAATTCTTAGTATACAGTACAGCTCATGATCATAAATATTTTGGGGAAAAAATCTTATGTAATTTACGAAAAGTGATGAAGCAGACTTTGGCATTCGCAGAGTTGAAGTGTATCTCACATTTACTCAAAATGTATTACCCTCTTAAACCATCGCTACAATTGTTTTTTCTAGTTGAATGCATGCTTTATATATTCTTATGAGAGAATGGGAAAAAAAGTAAACTTGATATTTTCAAAGAAAAAAACCTCTACTACATCCTTAATATAACTTGTTTACATTTTGTTCACATGCAAAGTGAATGATGGGAATGAGAACCGATCGTTTACACCCAAAGATAAATATAAATGTAATGTGTTCCTGTTTATAGAACAACTTGTGGGTAAATGTTGCTGATCAGTGAGCGAAATTTGTTATCGGAGATTCACATGCCGGTAAACATCACATGACATCACATGACATGACATCAGAGTGCAACGACCTAGAGATGTGTTTCTACAGTAATAAGGTTCTATGCTCTGGTCAACTGATGGGATGTTAATTCTTTTCTCCACTAACCTTGCTGCCTGAGGTAGATGTTCAATGTTTCCTGATGGGTGTATTTCATGTCACTGTAAATGTCTTGTAATGACGGCATCTGTAAAAACAATGGTAGAATGATCGGGCAAAGTCGATGCTTTACGTATCACACCCAAACACAATCACAACAGTTGTCATGCAATATGTGTTTAAAGGCCGACATTTACTTACCCATGGGCTGGACGGAGTTTAGTATTAGACATTTGACTGATTATTCAATGACAGTAACTGTCAATTGTTCATTAAATGTAGATAGTCCTAATCTGTTATTTATGTGTATAGTTACTGATTTGAGCTGTGTAAAGTGAAATAAACAAATTATTTCTGGTGACAAGGCAGCTTGTTAGAATCCAAATTCAAGTCGGGTATACTAGTATGCGGTGACACGGTCTATGCTGCAATGTTCAATAAATATATTCACAGACATACATTACGTTGCGTAGAGTAAATCTCTGGTCAGCGGCGACATTGTTTACATTTATAGTGGAACGTGCTACAAAGTATCAACGAGGTTACCACGCAATTTTGAATTTGAATTTCGTTCACAGACATGGGGCAGAAAAAATAAGAATTATGAAACTGCTCAAGATTTCTTTCGCAGTCACAAGTTATTTTCTATTTTTTTTACACAAGAATGCGTAAATGTGCATTTTTATCGGATATATATCAATATGTCCCGAAACGCAGTCACAGCAAAACTTTGCTGAGCAATATCACAACAAAATGTACTCTCTGTTCGTACTCATTTTGCAGCCAGAATTATACGCAAACGTCATGTTCTGGTGCTTCTTGCCAAATTAGATCGTGGTTCACTATAAAAATAATCATCCTCCTATGAGCCAGAAATAAAACATATTACCAACCAGCATGGTGGCAGCGAGTCTCTTTCGCTCATTTATTCAGAATTATGTTATTTAGAAAAACGCTGATACCTTGATACCAGTCATGTGGAAAGCATCAACAATTCGTTGAATGTTTTTAATAACATGCGCATCGTATTTCATTTCAAGCGATTCTACATTGAACACGGTTACTAGTAACCGTAATTGGAACAAGATTATGAATGCCGTTTATCATTGACAAGTTGATTTCAACCACCGTCTGTGTTTTCAGACAGACACTTTATAGTCTTTCTGGTTTTGACAACCTCATGTCCCATGTACAAAGAAGCTCGTCTGTGTTTTCTTTCGTGTAATTCATTCCATTGTATTCTCTAACATAAACAACGCATTAGTGGCGTTTATTTCACCTTATATGCAAAGTAGGCGTTTTGAAAACGATGTGGGTGGAGCTTACAGTGCCGGCAAACTCGAAACTCAACGCTTTTGAAACCCATTTTTCCGGAAAAAGTAAATGGTCTATCTGTCAAATTCACTACTATTTATATTTATGGCTTCCCTGAACATTCATAGCGCCACTCAGGTTTGAAAAATAGAAACTACAAGTCATTGTCAATGACACGTCCCCGTTTCGTTCATATTTGATTGACATATACATTCAAAGCAGCAACAATATGGATATTGAACTGCATTCAGTCAAACAAAATAGCCACCAGTCAGCCATTTTCAACACAATCCAAAAAAAAATTAAAACTAAATTTGCCCACGCATGACTAAGATTCAGTTCCGGTATGGTTGAAAATGTGCAATTTTTGTGAATTTTTT